TATAGTATGATATGTGCAATTATTTATGTTCGTAAATGCTCATATTACTTAGCTTAAGATGAACTTGACACTTACCTGATAACTTCAGTAAACTGCCACAGAATAGTAATAAGTTTCCTATACTTAGAGATGGTAGATACTATAATTACCTACTCAACTATACATAAACTTCAATAATGAAATACAAAGTAGAAAAACTATAAATATTGAATCTGCATATTTAATATGACATGAATAACAAATTTTTGCGTTTTCGAATCGTGTTTCAAATTTTTAAAATATTTAAGATTCGAGTATCTTAAACGGAAAACATCCCATGTGTGCGGAAGTAAAATTCACAATACATTTATAACAAAACAAAATCATTACTTGTTTTATTCTTAATTTAAATTTAATTAATTAATTTGAATACTTTTTTCGTTCAGGTACGTGGAATTCGGTGTATAAATTGAAAAATGCTAATGTGATAAAGTTGACATGATAAATATTTTTACAATAAAAAAAACAATGATGAAATGCAGGTATTATTAAAACAAAAAAAAAACAGACTTAATACTAAATTAATTTTAAGTAATTATGATTAATTAATAATTGATTCAACTGAGTAAACTACCTTGCTCTCAATTATATGTGTCTTGAGCGATTTGCAGCTTTACATTGGAAAATTTTTATTATTTTAATATAATTTTATTACAAAAAGTTTTAATAAAATAAAATTTTGTTAGGAATGCAATCAACTGTAAAAAATAATTTTTATTTTGAGAATAATGGTCAGTGTCCTCAACTGGAAAACTGGTCAGATATATTGCACTTTCTTATTGCTCTACAATATCTCAGATACGCTTTGAAATTTCTTAATGGAATGTTTTTAATAAAGAAAACCCTGATTTTTTTGTTACTTTCTGCTTATATATTTATATATTTACTACAAGTGTAATGATAGATTATAATATATCTAAGAGTGATAAAGTGATACGTTAATAGTTTAAAAAAACTTTTCCACATCTAATATGTCAAATTGATAAATTTATTGCATATTATATTATTATATTAAATATTATGTCAAAAAATACTACCTAATTACTCCAGATCCATAACTACAATATGTATATACTAAAAGAACAGTTTCGAGCACTTTATCAAATCACTCAATTATTTTGAATTCCGATCAATTGCTGATTTATTACAAACTGTAGTCAATGAGTATATAATACATTGAATAGTCTTTGTTATAGCTTATTTATTTTAAATAAAATTAATTTTGAAAATGTAACTTAAGTATTTGAAATTTAAATAAAACTCGATTTTCTAAAACATTTTCAATTTCTCAAACTACGCTTAAGAACTGGGCTTAGGTCCCAGTAATAATTTAAAAACACGTATTGAATATTGGTTGTAATAACAATTTATTAGAACATATTGTCGCGTTTATGTAAAAAATATTATTTAAAAATCAAAGTTGAAACCAATAGTTAGTTATATTAAGAGTATAATATATGTTTCAGTCCATAGAGTAAAACAGTATATACTTTACTTACAAATTTGAGTATAGGTACATTGACTTTGATAATTAACTTTAAAAAAGTTAAAGAATGTTTGTAGTATTTAGATACACATTATGAGTACTCTATATTATCAAACAATGCATGTATGTATAATTATAATATTGTCTATGAATCTAACAGCTAAGATTTATTCAATTTCAAAGTTCTTAAGAAAAATTTTAACAACGTTTTGTAAATGTGTTAGTATATATATACGTATAACGTTTATTGCCCAGTAAAAAACGCGGTCTTGCAAGACAATGTTGGCAATCCATCATCCATCACTTTGTTGAATGATTT